AATAAAAAATACACATGCAAAAATTCTAAAGATCACAGGTTATGCTCCAGTCAATGTCAACCCTCACCCTTCCCACCTCTGGGTTTAGTGGGGTTTTGGAAATTATTGTTGTAAAATTTGCCAAATGCCCCACCTCCTGGGGCAAGAAGGATAGGCAAATCCCCACCCAAAACAAACCCCCCACATTTCCCCCACCGATCGCCACTGTCTGCTATGCTTGCTATCAGCAGAGTACTCAATGAACGTATACGCATACGCAGCTAGCGGGACACGAAACACGACTATTACCCTACCTCCTTGGGCACAGTTTTGCAGTAAACCCTGTCTAATGCCCCACATTTGTGCCGTAACGCCCGAGATGGGAGGGGTCAGGGTTGACATTTACTGGGAGCATTACTAGGGCAGGACTCCAGAAGACTTAATTACACTTTATGCAAATTTTCAAAAAAATATGCTAATTTATTCATGATGTAGCAGTTTCTGTGCTCATGAATATTCATTAATTAGTGGGTCAATACATTCTAAAAGGGGCGATATATTATTTTGTAGCTATTTCACGTGTCTGTATTTTCGTTGAATTTCTTGTCTTCTGTCAAGTTGTGATCTGGCTTCAGGTTTTTGGTTTTAGTAACTTGTTTTTGAAGTCGGTAATTCAGGTAATGGCTCATACCTGACATGAAGAGGCCTGTGTAGGGTACTACATTTTCTATACTTGAACATGCTTTCCTTCCTTTTATCAGGAAAACTAGTTATCTTTCTTGCAGGAATAAGTTTTTGAAGTCTTTTGACTTGTTTATTTTGCTCAATCATGTTTTCAATTTGACTCTTGCTGGCGTCTGCAGCATATGATACGTATCTATCGTGTTTTGCAGTATGACTCCTTGAACAAACTTTCTTTTTAAGTGCACATTCATTATACCCTGTACAATTTTATCAAGAATCGTACAGCCTTCCTGATTTGGCTTATAGAATTTGCATGACTTGGCTCTTGGTGTCAACCCCAAATTGTAAACTTTATCAGAGCATGAATCATAGTTTGTTCAAATATTGTGACAGAAAAGAGGCTCTAATTGCTAGATTATGCTTTGCTACATCAACAGACCTTCTATTTTGACAGTCAGGTAACTTGTTTACCTTTATCTAGTTTTGTGGTTTTATTTTTTCTGTAACTTTCTCTGTAGATTTTTTTTCCAACCCCCAAACTTTCTAATGGTCAACAGCTTAGTTTAGAATTTTTAAAATTAGCACCATTTCAATAATCTTATACTTTTGTTTTTAAGAAAGAGACATTGGAAAATGGAAAATAGATCAGAAGAAAGCACAAGATGAACTTGATGCTCCCATCCAAGTCAATGAAATACATACAAGTACACAGTCGGTAAATTATCCGAATCTACCTTCCACTGATGAATTAAGGGGAATTACTTTAAGAGATCATGCAAGTGGTGAGTATCATGCATGTACATGTATCTAGCTATGATTACTCAAAAGTAATATCCAGCATATTAATACAATTTTAGTTCAGCTGGCTACAACCCTAAAACAACTTGCTGAACTGCCATTCTGTACATGTGCAGTAGTGGGGGTGTATGTTCACCGATATTTAACAAATATTCACAATATAGAGTTTGTAGTTAACAAAATATTGAAATGTAGAATGAAGCAGAGCATCATGAATATTTTCTAGTTAACCGACTCAAAACTGTAGAGTGGCTTAGGTTTGTAATAAATTGTAAACATCAAAGTATTTTATGTTTAAAAACTACTTTAAGGAAGGCAACACGAGTTGACAATGGTGGTTCAAAGGGTAATGATATGCAAATTATCTAATTAGTATGCACAAACACAAGTTGAGTGGTGGTGAAAGGGTTAACAAATATCTACAGCTCGCTGGCCAGGCATGTTCTGACTTCCTCTTTACTTCCAGGTCCACCAGAAATTTTTGATGCCTATGTGTGTGCGTGCGATAAAGATCATTCATTTGTCCTTGAAGTAATGAAGCGACTGGAGAAACCACCGTATAATTTAAAGCTTTGCGTTGAATTTCGGGATTTAGTACCAGGAAATACTTATGTGTCAGCAACAGTAGAACTTATCCATAACAGGTATGTAGAGTATGTGATTTAAGTGAAATAAAAAATTTCTTTATCTTTTCTCACTTTTAATGGGTCTTTCCATGTATGTGTGTGTGTCTATATGTCTGTTCCATCGGTATCTTAAGAACTGCTTGATAAATTTCAATGACACTTGGTTCATAGATGCCTTGGAACAATGCACAAACCTGATTTGTGTTTGAAATCTGTGCATATTAATTTCCTATTTTGCTTAATAATTAACCATTCCCAAGAAGCACATCAGACTTCAATGATACTTGGTACATCGAAGCTCTGGGGTAAATATGTCATTCATTTAGAATTGAGTTTTGTGCATACTAATTGCCTAATTTGCATAATAATTAACCATTCCCAAGAACCACATCAGACATGATACTTGGTACATAGAAGCTCTGGGGTAAATATGTCATTCATTTAGAATTGAGTTTTGTGCATACTAATTACCTAATTTGCATAATAATTAACCATTCCCAAGAACCACATCAGACTTCAATGATACTTGGTACATAGAAGCTCTGGGGTAAATATGTCATTCATTTAGAGTTGAATTTTGTGCATACTAATTACCTAATTTGCATAATAATTTGGATGAATTAGCAGATTTATAGGGTTTTCACAGATATTTCTAGTACCATTCATAAAATTTGAATGAAACTAGGTGCTTTTGAATAATCCACAAACCAGATTGAAATGCATGCGTATTATTAATGATTAGCCAATTTCAGCCTTTCATTTGAAAACCACTTATCTGATTTCAATGAAACTCGGTACAAAGGTGATTGCTCTAGGAAAAGACTACACACCACAGATGTAAAATCTAATTTATTTCTGTTTATATTATGAACTTCAATATGTAGTGTCTCTCGAAGAAAAGATCTGTACTAGCCAACAGGAATCTTTTTTTTTAAGAGGCTTTGGAACTTTTGAATGTAGGAGAAAAAAAACTTGGGTGACAGAAATAAATAAAAGAAATGAATTACTGTAAAATATTTTATTTTCGCTGGAATTAATTTTCGCTGAAAATTCTTCTTGGATGTTTTGTATGGAATTTATATTCACTGGTTTTTGGCGAGTTAGGAAATACAGGGAAAAACGTATATTCGCTGAATTTTATTTTCACTGAATCACTCCTTCCATTAATTCCAAGCGAAAATAAAAGTATTTTACAGTAGATTATACATATGTGGTTTGAAGTCTTGTGATATATCCTATAAACCACTCACTTTCAATCTCTGTGTGTGCCAAAGAAATGTATGATGAATGAATTCCAAACGAATGGCCAGGATAACTTGGGTAATTTGTTGTGTCTAATGTTTTTTAAACTTGGTTATGTTATGAATCTATGTATAATCTTTAAAATTGGCGTGACTGGTTGCTGGATCAAATTCAAAATGGTCATCTGGTGGTCATTTTGTTGTCTGATTCATTTACAACTTCAGATTTCGGTTGGTTTCATTGGCACATCAGTTACTTTCTTATATAGTTTATGGGCAATCAGGGAAAGGTACTAGTAGTTTAACTATGTTTATGTGTCTTAATGCCGACGAGTGTCTAATCATACCCAGGTAGGTTTCATGTAAATTGTGTACGAGTGCGTGATGTTATTTCAGATAGATGATATGATGATTGAAAATTCAAGTAATGTTTGTTAAGGTAGAGATGCAGTTTATTTGGCTTGCTTTTTAATTGAGTAATTAGACAATGAAGATGGTATTATATATCCAGCATGTTATATATTTTCTGAAAGCTTATTATACAAACATTGTAAAACTTGTCTTTATTTTAAATATCCAGAATGCGTTTTTGATTTTGGGTCAAAAATATGCTTTTTTGGACAAAAGTGGTTTAAAAAAAAATAGCTCAAAAACTTCAAGTCCGTTTGTGGGTAAAATTACATCACTGGATACCTAGGTATACTACTAATTCAAATGCGTCCACTCATCTTTCTAACGGCTTTCAAAGTCGCACAGCATGACCTCAAAGTTCACTCTTTTCTATTTTTGCATAATTTATATATCCATGTTAATTGCGGACTTGTTATTTTTGTTCCACTCGCCGTAATAAACTGTCCGGACGCATTTTGAAGGGGGAACACCTTGTCAATAAATTGTGAAAATTTCGAGGCAAATGGCCAAAGCGTCTAACAGCTATTTTAATTTAAAACCCAAGAATTCACCAAAAATAGAAGACGA